CTCTGTGACTTGCTCATAGTCAGGGTTTGCTTTGGACTGCTTTTATTTTTTGATTGCTCGTACATATTTGTATTTTGAAATTGAGTTTTTTAAACCAACTTTTGCTTTAAAAAAACCTGATTTAAATTCTTTAAACCAACTTTTAGTTCAGAATTAGGGCTTTTAAACCCAATTTTTGCTTTAATTTAGGTTTTTTAAACCAACTTTTAGTTTAAAAGTAATATGAATCAGGTTTTTTAAAACTAACTTTTGTTTTAAAGAATCTGATTTGGTTTTTTAAACCAACTTTTGGTTAAAAATAACCTAAATTGGATTTTTTAACCCAATTTTTGTTTTAAAATAATCTGATTTCAACTTTTAGTTTAAAAGAAATCTAAATTGGGATTTTTAAATCTAACTTTTGCTTTAAAATAACCTGATTTGGGTTCTTTGAACCAACTTTTAGTTCAAAAGTAATTTAAATTAGTTTTTTTAAATCAACTTTTGCTTTATAGCTATTTTAATAATTCTTAAAATATCTGATAAAAATTGGCTAAATAATTTTTTAGCTATTTTAATTAAGTTTGTAATCTTGGTATAATATGTAGAATAGATAACTAATATTAATATAAATATTATTGAATATACTTTTAAACCATTTTTGCTAAAAAATATTTAAAAAAAAGAGGTTTGCTATTTATCACCACTGGTGATTATCATTAGTGTTGCTATATTTCAAAAATGTATTAAGTAAACAAAATTGGGTACTCTAAATAAAAATGTTCAGAATCTACAAAAACTGAAATTAGAATCTTATATTAGCTCTATATTATATTATATAAAAAAAAAATATTCTCTAATTTCTAACCTTAACCTTAACAAATCTTAGAACTAGTGATGATCACCACTGGTGATATATAGTAATTTTCTTAAAAAAAAATTTAAAAGATCTATTATTTTGAAAATTGCTAAACATTTAAATGTTAGTATATCTTTTATATATCAAGTTCTTAAATACTTTTAAAAATATAGATATATTAAAAGCTTTTGTCACTTTCAGAACTATGTTTACTAAATATGAATTATACAAAATATTTTAAACCTTTAATAAAAAAAAAAATTTAATTAATATTTGTACTGTATAAATTACAATCTAGAAACTCTGATTAAATATAAAATTAGTCTTATATTAAAAGGCTATAAACTAACTTGTTATACAAATAAAAGTAATATTTTATTTATATACAAAGTTTTCTTTTAATATATACTTTATACAATCTGTTTAGTTTAAAAGTCTAATTAATATATAATATAGTTTATTTTTTATATTTTTTGTTAAGACTTATTAACATACTAAGCATATTTGATAAGCACTTGAACAAAAATTTAATAATATTAATATTATTGTTACATTAGTCTATAAAATAGCTATTATAATATAGATTATACCAAAATTACGAATTTAATTGAATTGGCTAAAAAATCATTTAGCTAATTTTATCAAATATTTCAGAAATTATGAGAATAGCTATAAAGTGGATTTTTTAAACTAACTTTTGATTTAAAAATAACCTAAATCAGAGTTTTTAAACTCAACTTTTGTATTAAAATAATCTAATTTGGGTTCTTTAAACTAACTTTTGGTTTAAAAGTAACCCAAATAGAGTTTTTAAAACCAACTTCTGCTTCATAGCTATTTTTATAATTCTAAAATATTTGATAAAAATTGGCTGAATGATTTTTTGGCCAATTTGATTAAGTTTGTAATTTCAGCATAAGCTATATTATAATAGCTATTTTAAATAATATTAATAATATTAAATTTTCATAAATATATTAATAAGTTTTAATAAAAATATAAAAAATATATTATATATTAATTTTATTTTTAAACTAAATATATTTTATAAAGTAAATATTAAAAAAAAATCTTGTATATAAATAAAATATTACTTTTATTTATATATACAAGTTGGTTCATAGCTTTTCAATATAAGACTAATTTTATATCTAACCAGAGTTTTGGATTGTAATTTATATAGTACAAATACCAATCAGGTTTTTTTTATTAAAGTTTTAAAATATTTTATATTATTTATATTTAGTGAACATGGTTCTAAAACTGTTAGACTTTTCAATACATCTATATTTTTAAAAATATTTAAAAACTTGGTTTAGGCCACAGATAAGTATTTAGATTTACTTAGATATATATCTGAGTTCTTATTCTTAGTATTAAATTTATACAACAAAGTTTTTTCTGATTTTGTAAGAAATTTTCATTAAATTTAATAAAGATAAAAGCAAGGTCTCACCATTAATATTAAAAAAAAAAGAAAATATTTAAAAATTTGACTTATAAAAAATATACTAATATCTAAAGGCATTGTTATTTATCATCTGTTTTTTTTTATTAAAGATTTACTCCCCTTTCTAGTTTTTAATATGAGCTATAAAAAAGAAAAACCTGTAAGCCATTTCACTTATTATTATTGTAGTGATATATACCTCTAATTCTTATAGAATAAAAATGTCACTACATGATAATAAGTAAAATAGTTTACAGGTTTTCTTTTTTCGTTACTTATATATAATTAATCAGATCTAAATACTACAAAATAGTATTTTAGTAGATATATTAAAAAATAAAATTTAATTAAACTTAGTATTTAAATTAAACTGAACTTGGCAATGGTAGCACAACATATACTAATTAGAGAAATGTTACTAAACACACAGATGAGTACATATGTGGAACATGTACTATTCTGTTAGGTTTACTACAAGTATAAATGCCTCTTATATGGTGTTTGGCTAAAGTCTTAGAGTCTTTAATAGTAAATTACTCTGAAAAGGATATATTAGAAAAAAGCATGTAACAGAGATGGTACTAAAGAGTTTAAATAAATAACTCCATAGTTGGGTTATAGATATAGTAGCTAGTATAAAACTTTAGATAAAATGGCTTAGATGCAAACTACTTAAATTAGATATCAAAAGTGTATATATAGCTAGTTATACTCTTGTAATACCAATATAATATGTAGTCAAGTTTTTGGATATATAGCCTAACCACTTGTATTAATAAAATGCCAAGAGCCTAAGTAGTTACCTTAATATTAAAAAAAAAAAAAAGTATTAAAATTAAACCAAAAATAGTATATAATATAAATTTTTTAAATTTAAATTACAAATTATTTTTAATTTATACTATAAAACTATAGATGCAGATATTTAAAGATATATAGTTATGTCCAATTGACGTCAAAAGTGCTATAATAATGTAGATTGCAACAGTTAATGTAGGATACAAAAGTTGACATAGAACTTATTAGACTATACAAATTTACTTACAGTCAAACCTTGATATAATCACCAGCTTGGAAAACAAGAATCTGGTGATTATAAAAAGTTGAGACTATATAAAGGTTAAATTTTATATGTTTTATATTAGCTCAAGTTAAAAAATAGCGTGATTATATCAAGATTGTGACTATATCAAGAGTGACTATAACGAGGTCTGACTGTACTTGGTTTTTATAATATGAAACTTTTAAATAGACCCGGCTGACCAGCTTTTTTTAAAAATTTTATATATAAAATTTTATAAAATTTATATAAATTTTTTTTTTAAAACTTACTTGGTTATTAAAATATATAAAAAAATTTTTTAGAAGTTTTTAAATTTTGACTCAGACAGGTTATAAAAACCAATTAATTAATTTTGTATAGTCTTAGTTGACATAAAATGCATCAGTTAACATAGAGCTTAATAGTTAATATATATTTATAGATACAAATATTTGAAAGCATCTAAGTGGTATATCATTATGTCAAAAATGCTATGATGATATAGGTCATAATAATCAACCTTTGCTATAACTAGTTTTGGCAATAAAAAATAGTTACGTTTAACAAGTTTTTTACAGTATTTTTGCAAATTTTTACCAAATATTATGATATGAGTTAAATATGATAATATGAGTCAAATATTACGGTATATATCAAGTATTAAGGCATATATCAGATGTTATAGTAAATATTAGTTATAGTTTTTTGACGTATCATTATATCTTTAAATTATATCTAATCAATTACAGCACTAATATATGTTTATATCTATATATAAAAAAATATAAAAGTTAGAAAATTTAAATAAATATATAACTTTTTAATTAAACTATAAATATAGTAGCTAGTATAGAATTTTTAAACAATTTATTTATTTATTTTTTTTTTAAAGTGACCTTTTTGGCCTAAGACGTTTTATTAAGTTTACAGTATGTTATTACAATTATGATGAAAGTACAACTAGCCACACGTACACTTTTAGTGTCTAATTTAAGTAGTCCATCTAAGGTTCTACACTAGCCATCATATCTGCAACCTAACTAGGAGATTACCTATTTAAATTCTCTAGTTCTAATGAACGAGAATATGACTAGCCACACGTACAACTTTTGGTTGCCTATTTAAGTAGTCTGCCCAGGTTCTACACTAGTTGACCATGCCTGCAACCCAACTAGGGAGTTATCTATTTAAACTTTCTGGTCACAACCACTCACATACTTCTACCTAACTAAGACATAACCTCACTACTTATAGATAGTAGGTCTGTGCAATACCTATAGATTTTGTACTCTACTTTAGAACTCCTTTCGGCTTATCCTTGAGGTAAACCTGACATTGCAGTACATATCTCACACATGATGATGCATGCGTATTCGGTAACTTCTTTCTAATTGGTACTTGCCATGCTGCCATCACCAGGTTCGTATCTCAAGCCATCTTTGGATACTGCCGTAACCTAATTCGTATCTCAAGCTACAGCCTTTCTAATTATTCTTCCATTATGTACTCTGCCCTTGTAAGGTTTGTACAACCCCAGCACCCACATTTGGGCTTTTCTTCTTTTCTGAATTCTTTATCGGTCTCTCACTTACTTCTAGCCGGCAACCCAGAAGGGTTGGTCTGCCCAGGCTTTAAGTGCCTTATAGTTGCTCTCCTCTTGGTACATGCTTCCAGAGCACAAGTCTTTTTTCTCTGGTTAGCGATACCCGGCGGTTTGGCTGGTATGTCCCCCCACTAAAGGACCTGGTCATTCAGTTTTCTGATCTCGGTCTCCAGTTTCAAATTTGGTCTTCCTGCAACACCGTCAAAGATCATACTACTCCCTAA